AATAAACCAGCACGGTTATATTTTTTATATGTCCAAGTGGTCCGCTTCGTCTCTCTGAGTTCCTGGTTAAAAGAACTGGGTAATATCTTTCACCATAATGGTCCAGTTCATAATTAAAGCTGTATCTATTCCTGGGCATCTCAATCAAATTGCTGTCTCTCATTTCTTTTTTCAGACATTCAAAGAATTGATGCCTCAAGCCAACCTGGACCAAACACCAGTGCCTCCCTTTTTTGCACGTCTTCACCATTTGAAACCTGAAATTAGCATGCTGATCAAAAGTTTTCATCGGGCTTCTCCACCTACATCTCCTAAATGCCTCTCACTCACCTCAGACATGTTAAGCTTATGTATACACATTTTACACTTCAAACTTCAACTCTGCCAACTGTCCCTCACCCTGTAAGCATTGTTCTCTCTAGGCTTCTTTGGGGGTGGTGCTGTGTAATGAAGCACTGTTGGAGGATTATGCAAATGAAGGGATTATATAATGAGTTGGTGTTCAGAGCCTGCCAAGGTTTCCATCTTGATGACTGACTCATTGGATCATGTCACTTATAGAATTGTCCTGGGTCCAGCCTAAAAGAGGGTCAACCCAGAAACACTATAGGTGTTGACCACTCTAGGGGTCATTTCAAGAGAGGTTGGCAGAAGATTTAGAGATTTTTTCATAAACAGTCCACTCTGTCAGTAGTTCTACAGTCTACTCAAAGGATCAGCTTGTTGTTCAGACAAAACACTGAGGCCCAGTTTACTTCCCCCCACTTTCACATGGCCTAGATTCTGCATGAACACACACATATACTGTATCTATCTACTGGTGGGTTTTTAGAGAACTTGGATTGACCGTAAAGATGAACTGATTTCCTGAATGAACTATACTACACTAATGTGCTGCACTTATCTGAGTCTCTACCTTCCTGTTAGCCTGCCAGCAGTCACAAAAGATGCTGAGCCGAGCAGCTTGATGCTCTGCCAGAGGAATGAGGCCTACTCTGTTTCACCCTTACTACTTTACATTCTTTCACTGTCATGGCCTACATTCAGTGAGAACACACATAACATACACACAGCTGTAACAAATGCCTGAGGAAGTTCTTCTTTTGATTGATTGTGAGATGTAGGACTGATGGAGGTCAGCGCCCGGAACAGTGACAGCGAGGGTCATCTCGTCTTCAGAGTCTAGTACTCCATTAAATTCCACTGAGGTCCCTGAAGAAACAGAAAGAGAGAGGACAATAGAAAAGGAGACAGAGGGGAAGGAGCACAAAACCTGGATCTGAACAACACTGAAAAGGGCCAAACTTTGACTAGATGATTGGGTTAGAGCTTCTCAGATCTCAGAGCAGGTCGTATGGGATGACTAATAAATTACATTTAAATTTTAGACTATTCATTGTAAAAATTGAATATATGGATTTCTTTGCTCAAAGTATGCCAAACTAAATTTGGATTGGTTTCCTTTTTACATGAACTGATTTTATTGTATTATTTTTGCCTTTAAATGATAAAATACATTATATACTGTATAGGTTTTACTCTTTATTGTGACATTTAAAGTGTGATAATTACACTGCAGATTTCAATGCTTTCCCATTGTTTCTTAGTTGTCATCTAAAAATATGAATTACATGATTTTGTATCATCATGTACAAACAATACTTCTCTACTGACTCTTCCTGTTATCATTACTCCTTTAGTGAAATATTAAGGATTTCACCTAAAGAACAGACAGACGGCAGAACCCAGAGTTCCCATTCCATTTATTAGATATGATTTATAAATAGACACACATAGACATATTTTTAAGGTATAAAAAATACAAGATACAGGGCTTTAGTGAGGTTTCTTCATTTTCTTTGACACTTTTTTTAATTGAATCAACAAAAATGAAAAATTCATAAATTCATATTTTTATTTTTTAAACACACCTTAGTCATCCATTCATCAGACAGGTTGGTATCATCAGTTTCATGTTAAATGAGGTCAGAGGATTGAAAGAAAAATCACATGCAGCCAGCAACTTTTCACTAAATTTGTACAGCATGTCCTCTTGGCCAAACAAGTGCAACGTTGTCTTACAAACTCTAAGAAAAGCTAATATCACAAGGGAAAAGTTTAAATGTGGAACCATGTTTAATGATTGGGATGAAACAGATTTTACTGAGAACTGATTGGCAAACACTCCACATCTTCCAGATATGTTGAGTTGTGTGTCAAATGAGGTTAGGCCAGTTTAAACCAGACAAACCAGTTTAAATCTTGGTGGATATTAGCTATGCTATTGATTCAAATGTGAATTTTAAATAATCATCAGTGTACTGGCAGAAAAAGTGGGATTTAGGATGCTACAGAAACAAATTTAAGAAACTTAAAATAATGAGGCAATGTTGCTAAGTTGCACTGAAAAATGTTTCAAATGTCTGCAATAAATTAGCAATGTAATGGTTCTGAAAAGTATATATACATATATAAATCACAGATAATAAACCTAGTGCAGCACAAACACAACTAGTGTCTGCTTCAAGCATTTATGTACCATACAGCTACTGTGCCAAATCTGGCTCACCTTGTTCTAAGGACAATAACTCCTGCTAATTCATATGTATTTACTGATAAATGTATCTAAAAATACAACTCATCAACTTCATTGTTACAGAAAATTGCATTATTTCTTGGTATTATATCAAGTTATTTTATTATTTTTTTTATAGTAGTAGTAGATAACTCATGATTCACAGTGTTTAAAACTGAACAGTACAGGCCAAAACCGACTGTGTGACTGGCACCATTTCAATATCCATTGTGGAAGTTGCTTTCAAGTCCAGCACTGTTCCAGTAACTTTACAGAATTAAACAGCTACTGGATTTAGCCTTTCTCCAAAGAATTCCAATAACATCAGAAAAATAGAAAATGTTAACTTTACATAGAGTTCTCCTCCCTTAGCAACATTAGGAAGATTTTGTGTGTTTTATAGATCTGTCAAGTAGCACAGCTTTTTCAGTTTTCATTATTATCTTGAGTATTTATGTTGCCACCCAGAGTTTAAACATTTTATCTCAATTTCAACAAAAGCCTTCTTTAGAGATGTGTATGATAATAATAATAATAATAATCCTTGTACAACTCCGACAACTCTTTGTACAGGACTGTGGTACTTCATTCACGAAGCAGCTTTGCATAGAAAGTATTTACTTAGCCAAGAAAATAATGTTTAATAATTTCTGAGATATACCATTAAATTCACTTATGAAAAATAGTTACAATGTGTTTTTCTCACCGAAATTGACTCTGATGCAAAGAGGTTTCAAAGAACATATAGCAGTTGCTAATGATTTGTTTCTCCTTAGCAAAAAATAAATAAAATTAACTCCCACCAGAAGGAATGTATTATAACAGTACATGACCAAAATACAGATAATTTGTGGCTGATAAAAGTATGTACTTCTTAAAAATATTAAAATAAATAATGCACTGTACTTATTCTGCACCTGACAGGAAATATTCTGATAAAAAATAATACTGACCAAGCAGACATGAATATACATCATTTTGATAAGAAAATACTTATCTACAAATGTTTTTAATTGGATTGATATATAAATATTTGTAACAATATGTTATCTCCATACATACAGTATACAGCATAACTGAGTACATCCCAAAATCACTAAAATGTTAAATGGTTCAAAACTATACCATTTTACAAAAATGCTATAATTTTAACTTAACAGGTTACACTGAAATTACACGTCCCAAACTACAACCTCAATGCAGCAAAATATAGTTGCTGCAACAAAAGTCAGTTTACCTGTGACCACTGCAACAGCAGTAAATGTGGTGGCAATTCTGTTAATAAAAACTCACAAACAAGAGAAATTGTCTTTCTGGGTTTATTCACACTTGTTTAAGTGGACACCCCAACAGTCAGCAACCAGAGTTCCCATGGGAGGAAAGACAAAACAAACACAGGCAAGATTCTGTGTCAAGACACTCACTTTGAGCTTGACTGTGTAAACATACAGTAATATTGTATTAATAAAGTAGGAGTTGTAGGGTCATTAGGATTGTATTTTCAAGGAAAGCATGTCACCACAATAATTGTGCCTGTGATTCTTATTTAAGGTTAACTGCATAAACAAGGTTAAACAAGAGCCTGTGGATTTGTCTAACATGGCTCCACATGGTAACGAATTGTTTGAATGAGTAAGAAACCAGATTGTGACACTTCATAAAAATGGGAGAAAGTACAATAGTGTCAGTAAGCTACTAAACATAAGCTGATATACAGTCACGGCAGTGGTTATGGGCTATAGGAAGAGCCGAACATCCGATAACAGAGGGCAAGTTGACTGTTCTTGAAAAATGACACACACAAAAAATTTTGTCAATACATTGGATCAGATGGGGTCCAGCATCTTTGACACAAACCAGTCCAGAACTACCACAGTTACTGCATACTGCTGATGGTGTAACATGAATTTGGGAGTGTGCTCATGTAGGCCTGTGTGAGTGCAGAAGTTGTAGAAGGTGACACTATGAATGAACATACATTTTGACTCTCCTGCCACAAGAACAAGCACTGTTGAAGCCGTGTGCATCATGTGGTGTCACACCGGGGTGTCAAATAGAGTGCTATAATATTGAGTCATAAAACCCAGAACTGAGTTAGCAATTTTGCACTTCCAGCTCTCTTGCCCTGGAATTTATGGGGTTTTGGTTAGATGCCTGAAATAAGTTCTCTGTTAATACAATGCAAATACATTTTCATGTTTTGTTCTACAAAATAAAATACAGTAAATATTCCATTAGTGCTTTTTATGCTTTTATGTGTCTTTAAAAAAGCAATGGCTAAATGAGACTATAGACGTTGTTGGGTATATCATCACTCTGATTACCCATGTACTCAATAGTCTGCCGTCAAGGCCTCATTGTGTTTATACTCATGCACTTGCAAACTATTCAAACTAACCAACCTAGCTATGGTCACTAGTTGGATCACCTCATGCTATTTATGTGCAGATAAACACAGGTTAATGCCACGTTAACTCATTTGTTTTGTTTTGTTTTTGTTGTGTCCTGATGCTTTTCCTCCTTTCTCTCTCCTCTATCCAATCATCCCAACCAGTCGAGGCAGAAGGCTACCCACCAGGAGCCGGGGTCTGTGTGAGGTTTCTTCTGTTAAAGGGAGTTTTTCCTCCCCACTGTTGCCAAGTGCTGCTCAAGGGGGATTTGTTGGGTTGTCAGGTCTAGACCTAATTATGTAAAGTGCCCTGAGATGATTGTTGTTGTGAATTGAAGGTATACAAATGAGTTGATTGAGCTGAATTAAGAGGAATGGTTTTTGTTGAAAAGGTAAGTGCCCTAAATCAAGTCACACATTGGAAGCTGTGATGGGTGGTGATGCTTAAGTCAGGGGACTGTGGTGTACTTTGTTTTATGTTTTTTTTTTTTTAACTAAGGGAACCCGGGGAGATGCTAACAGGGTGACCTACATAAATATGTCATCCCTACAGCACTCTATTAGATACGCAAGCTGATCCCGATACACAGAGTGTAGGGTGTAGGGAGTAGGGGTGGGAATCTTTGGCAAACTTGACACAATTAGAATCAATTCTTGGTGTCACAATTCGTTTCAATTTTCAATTTGCAATGATTTGAATCAGTTAAAAATAGGGCACTGTATTACTGTATTTTTGTTTTTACTCCAGTGTGTCAAGCAGTTGATTACTGTCAATTGCCCACTGGGCTTAACAGGTAAGATAACTGGTTCTGATGAATATCAGAACCAAATACTTTACATAATGCTACCCAGAAGTATGCAAAGTACCTAAAATTTTAAGTAGGCCTATATAATATTAACATTAGCTCCACCATTATCAGCTGCAGCTTTAAATGTGATGAACACAATAATGTACAGTATAATACCATTATGCATAATGCATAATGAGTACTTTTACTTTTTGGTAACATACTTGTACTTTTACTTAAGTGACATTTCAAATGCAAGACCTTTACTTATAACTGAATATTTCACTTAGAGTATTTTACACTGTGGTACTGCTACTTTTCCGTCAATAAACAATCTGAGTACTATGTACAAAGCAGATCACTCGTTTGTGTTGTTAACATTACATCTGCAGCAGTGGAGAACAGCTTCTCTGCTACAGTGTTTTATTATTTATTATTATTTTCCAAAAGGGGCACAGGTCTGTAGAAACAAGGTTCTTTTTTTGCTCCACCAGTTTTAAGAGCTGCAGTGCACATTGCTGAGCTGCTCTCATTTGTTAAAACCTTTGGTTCTCCGCTACACTATTGTAAGTATGTTGATGTGTTATGAAGTAGTCACTCAGTTTCGTTTTCTGAAGATGAACTAATGCTGCAGTACAAACCAACATGTGCTGTACTCGCCTTGCAGTTCAGTTCCACCTTTTTTGTTCCATCAACAGTATTACAAAAATAGGATTTTAGCATCTGTGAATCGGCTCAGAATTGTAGAAGCTATGAATTGCAATTCTTATATGAATCAGTTTCTTTTCTTTCACCCCTAGTAGGGAGCATTACTCAGCTAAATGCAAATAGCTTTGCTAAAGCTAAGCTAGCTGCCTCTGAAAAAATGACAGTTGAAGTCTCCAGCTTGCAGCAGCACATTCGTCTCCTCACCATTCAGGATCAAACTCTGGTTCCTTTATCTTTATATACTGTCTTGCATTTCCAGCTTCAGCCATTACGTAAGACAAAGCCTAAGAGGTTTTGTATTATCCATTAGGTCCTATTCTGATTGGCTGGGGGTGAACATGAGTCATTACCTCCAGCCAATCATGAATAATGTACATTTTATGTTAACTTTCATAACAGCCTGCTACAGGACAGAGGGGAATCTGGGCTGATGAAATGTAAACTAGTTTGGATGAATATAGTGTTGCAGATATGTTTCAAATGCATTCTATGTAAAAATGGGTCAAAAGGGGCTGCAGTACCAACTGTTTAAAAAAAAGGAATGGAATTTCACTGACTTTTGTTGCAGTTGATTCTTAAAGATGGACCTTTCATTACAGTTCAATTAGTCAGACATTTTTGTTTTTCAAAAGAACTGACTTCATTCTTCTTGGGCTTTGGCTAAAAACAAAACTGTATTCAATAGAAAGGATTACATTTTACTGATATTGACCAGGGGTATACACAGTTTTGTTATGTACTGTATGTCCTGTATTTAAAACAAAAAGTTGCACTTAAATAATGTCATCAAGGAGATGTGGGGTGCCTACCCAGTCCAGTGTCCTGGGCTCGGAGGCAGCCATTATCATGCACATAAACTGTTTACCAGTCCTCTTATCAATAGGATAAATAGTTGTGGGTGTGAACCTTCTGTTTTTTTCTACAAACTCACAGAGCTGTTGATACACCTGTGGGTATTCATGGCGTAGAAAAACCCCTCGAATCCTTAACTCCCTTTGTATATTGATAAAACAGATTTCCCTGGCCTTCCTGCCTTCCTCTCCTTCTTTGTCAATATCTGCTGTTCCTGGAGGTGGCGTGAGGATCAGTGTTTCCATGTCATTCTCTTTCTTGTGAACCTTTCTCTCAGGGCTGAAGGAAGCCAGTGCTATCTTTGCATATTTTCTGACAGTTGGAGCTTGGTTCCTTGGTGATGGCCCTTCAGGCAATTGCTCACCAACAGCAATGGATACATTCAAGATGAAACATTCATTTGGGTCATACTCTTTACCAGCTTCCTGTAGCTCCTTACAATACTCCCCTAGATTGTCCTTGAAACTTTCAAGCTCTCGAAGAGACAGGTATGTAGGTGACATAAGTAGACTATCCAGACCATACTGCAGGAAGTTACTGGATGACAAAGGATTTGGAAAACCAAGGAAGAGAACTCCTCTACCTCGAGAAAGGTAGCCAACTTTGGCAATACGGGAGAAGGCTTTGTGGACTTCAACTGTCTCCCGGCAATATTTGATGATGTGACGGCATGTGCTGCCAATTCTTCCATAAAGGCAGCTTTCTTTATGAAGGTCCCAGTCCTCCCTCCGACAGTTACGGGAACAGTAGTAGGTGTAGCAGCTGTGACAGGATTTAAAATATAGACAAGCATTGAACAGGGTTTCTGTCCTCCGGCATTTGTTGTTAGAGCACATCATTGTATCATCCTCATCTGGGCTCTGATCTGGAGAGCACTCATCTGCACTCTTCAGTGCATCACTGACCCCATCCATATCTCGAAAAGCATTAGGATTCATTCTTATTGAGGTTGGCTGCTTGTCAAGAGGAGCTGGCTCCTCTGTATCTGTCTTTGAGCTCTTTCTGGACAGAGATACTGCTTCTTCCTCATCAATTAACTTCTTTAATTGGTCCAGAATGTCTTCACTTGCCCTTCTACTTGGTGGCTTGTAGTCAGTCACAAGATCTGCCAGAAGCTCATCAAGTTGTTCAAGGCTTTGCTGTAGTGAAGCATTGTCATGTGTCTTCTCTTTGGTCGAGCTTTCAAAGTCACACGGAGACAATTCTGGACCCTCAGTGCTTCTGGAGTCAAGAATGTCCCAACTGGCAGACCGTCCTTCAGCCTTGTTAAGGTTCCGTGGGTGAATGTCATTATCAGTGATTGTTATCTCAGGAGTGACAAACCAGCTCTTTGATATCTCTGCTGGGCTTTTGTCAATTAGTGAGTTATCAGACATTGATAAGGCTGCATAGCGTCTTGGTGAACTTGAGAGATTGACTACCACTGGTTGCGGTTTGTCTCCTGTGCCTGCTAGAGGCTTTCTGGAGTCAAGAAGATCATCATAGCTCTGACCCCGCTGTACAGGAAGAGGTTGTTCTCTTTCTACACGGGAGTTGAGAATATTGTCCCAGGACCTTGAGTAAGATTTTGAATCTGTACCAATTCTTTGAGATTCTACACATGGGTCAGTATACCAAGGTGCTAAAACAGGCTCTTGCCGGACTCTAGTTGGAGTGACTTGAGATACATAAGAGGCAGGATTGGTGGAATAACCAGATGCATCTGAGCCATACCAGTCATCTGTTTGTGCCTGAATGACTCTAGCATGTCTGCGGCCCTCTGTATAATAGGCTCTTGCTGGGACATGGTGTTCTGGTGGCATGGCATACATGTCACTGGAATAATAAAACCTTGGCGGAGCAGTCTGGATTTGATAAGTCCTTGGATCATCCCCATAAAACATTCTAGTTGGTGGTGTCTGTATGATGTATGGTCCAGGTTCAGTTGCTGCATAGGGTTTGGGATATCCTGTCTGCACAGAGTATGAATAGTGCTCCATCTCAGGATAATAGGGTCTTGTAGCCACAGCATGCACCATTTGAGTCCTTGGATCTTGCACATATTGTACTTTTGGAGTATATGTTTGTCCTGGTGTGTAACGTTCATCATGAAAGTAAGAACGTGGTTGAGGAGGAGCAGTAGTAACATATCTTCCTGGGTCATCTGCATAAAAGAACTTGGTTGGAACATTAGGACTGGAATGAGCTCTGCGTTCTCTACCAGAGTAATTACCTGATGAAGGCATTCTTTGCAAGGGAATCTCCATGGGTTGTAAGTAACTATTTGGCATGCTGTGGGAATATTGATAAGCTTGCCTGCTCTCTGTACCTAATGAGTCAGTGGGAGTTGGTGTTCTAGAATAGGAGAAATGCCGCGGCACAGTCCGACTCCTACTGTCCCCACTGCGGTGCTTCTGCCAAGGTATGTCCACTTGAGGTGTATCCTGTTTCCGTCCTGAATGATGTAATGCTGCATCATCGGGTTTAATGTCCACCCGACACCTGACATGAGGACTAGTGGCTGGTTTGTCTAGCCCTCCATCCTCAGAATTATCAGTAACATAGTGAGGTGAATATCTGCTGCCATCACTCATTTGAGGCTGCAACCTAATGGGATGTACTTCATGCATATGAGCCCTAGTTGCTAAATAGGATGACTCCCTACGTGGTGATACTTCTGGTCTCCAGCAAGTGTCTCTTCGAGCCCTCTGGGATTCCCTGCTCTTCCTCTCTGAAGGTGAGGACCCTTCAAAAGACACAGGGGTAAGACTGGTCTGGACGCGAGGGGCGCTTTTTGATCTAGTTCTCCTTTTTTGTTCTGGGACAGCTACTTCACTGGCCATATCTACAGCCATTAATTGAGGAGTTAACCTATGGCTAAAAATGTCTGGAGCAGAAAAGCGGTATCTCTGCTGGCGGCCCAAGGCATTCCAGGCAGCATCCGGGTTTGCTGCCTGCCTATCAGCCTTCCTGTATGGGGACTCCATTGAGTATTTGTGTGATTTTGGATACTCCAGTGACTTATAGTCAAAGGTACGGCAGTGCCTCTTAATGTCTTTGATTTTACTGCCCTTCAGTGTGTTGTAATTTATAGGATCACATTGTTTGGAGGGTTGCAAGGACTTGTAGTGTGAAGAAATGGGGATCACTTTTATATCTTGATACACAGTTGATACCAGTATGTCAGGTGGGTCGGTGCGTGTCATCTTAAAGGGACTCCTCTAGTTTTCTCCATCAAGTTGTTTTAATGTTGATGTTGCCTGGAGAGATAAAGAAATTCAGTCAGTAATATTTATGCAAGCAGTTAAAATCTATTAGCATGGAGAAAAATATGATTCAGTACCATTTGGTTATTAATAAGTCTCTAGAACAAACTTTGCCAGAAATATGTTTATAATTTGAACATATGCAAGCTGGCAGGGTTTGTTGTAGAACAAAGAGTTGTACTGTAAATTTAGTCCAAGGATCTTCTGTTTACAATTGTCTTCTATGTAATGTTTATTTTGGTGTTATAATTCAGGCAGTAGGGGCAGGATGACGGGGCAGTGGTTGGCACTGTTGCTTCACAGCAAGTAGATTACGTGTTTTTCCCTTGTGGCCAACTTGGACCTTTCAGTCTGGAGTTTGCATGTTCTCTCTATGTCTGCATGAGTTTCCTATGGGTAATCTGACTTCTTCCCACAGTCCACTGTAGGTTATGCGTTGTCTTTTGGTGACTCTAAATTGCTCATCAGTGTGACTGTGAGTGTGAGGGCCTGTCTGCCTCTTATGTGTCAGCCCTGTAATAGACTGACAACTTGCAAATGGTGTATCCCAGTGTCGGCTGGGATTGGCTCCAGCCTCCCCATGACTTTCTTCAAGATAAGTGTTATCGATAATGGAACAAGGGAATTCAGGTAACAATGGGGTGGTAAAAAACTTTCTGGGGTCTATGTCCAGATTAGAAAATCAAGGGCTAAAATGTCTAAGTTAGGGCTGGGCAATAAAATGATGATGATGATGATCCTCTAGATAATGATAAACCTGTGTGTAATTTTTTGCTCAATAATGTGTCTGTTCAGGTTCTACATTTGGGTCAACCATCATCTGCACAGTCACCCTACGGCTCCCACATAGCATATATTCTCTCCGCATTATATTGTGTTCTTGTTGTATTTTGATTTGCTTCCTTCAATTACTGCTTTAGAGTGCCTTAGATTTGTGATTTTACTGCCTATTTATATTATTGCTCATCTACTTTATATTTCACATGTATTATGTAGCATTTATGTGGACGGCAAAGTAAGAATTTCATTGTACAGGGAAACATGTTTCCTAACTGTTCATATGACAAATAAACACTTTGACCTTGACCCTATCAGGCTACAGCAATAGGACTATATAGCTGACACATGTAAGACCAAGATAAGGAAAAGAATAAGCAACCAGGAGGAAAGTCAAATGTCCACACAAAATGGTACTATGGATAAGAGAGGTCACACAACATAGATTGTTCGGAAGTTGTTCAGATTTTGAAAGGAGGATAGTCAGCACAGCAACATTGCTGCAAGACATGCAAGTGACCTGTGCCAACAAAGATGGGTAACACAACAAACCTTTTCTTCCATTTGGAAAACCACCAATGTCAAAGGCAGAAAGCCAAAGTCTCCAGGTCCAAATTACTAGCTTTAGTATTGTAGCTTCCAAAAACTTTTAAAAAGCAGAAGTGCCTCAGCTTTATGAGGTTAGCACGGGAAAACTGGAAGAACAGCTTAGAGATGCTGTACACTTTGCCACCACTACTGACGTGGTCCGGCTGCACGGTACAGCCCTATGTGAGCCACACTATCCACTTTATCAATGAAGAATGGAATCTGGTGAACAACCAGTACCAGTGAACGATATGTGCAGGAAGACATGTTATTACCTTGGTGTAAAAATAGTTGACAGTGTAGAACATAAACTGTGATTTACTTAGGATTGCATCCTAAACTAAATATACCCTTTACTTAAAATTAAAAGGTATCTTGTGGAGTTTTTGCATCCAGTGTCAGTCACACACACACACATTGTGTATGTGACTGACAAACTTGTAACAAACTTGTTGAATGTATTTTCCTTCCTTATTAATTATATGAAATGCACAAACAAAAAATGATTGATATTGATCAATATGTAAAAATATGCTATCATAATATTTTTTGGTCATATCACCCATTGACATCTACATTATTAGTAGTATTTCCTAACTTTCAGGATTATACAGAAACATTTATGAATTTTCACTTAATCTTGTGGCATAGTTATTTTTTTGTTTGTTTTTTGTGGCACAACCATAATTGTATACTCAACAGGCACTCCTCCAATATCCCACCCACCTTGACTTGCCAGTTATCACATGGTTCAATTTTACTGTATATTTTTGTGGAAACCTATCATTTATAGGCTCCATGCAAATGCAATATCTTTTCACTTAAACTGACCCACACTAAAAGCATTAAGCATTCACAGCTTCAGAGCTTCTTCATTTCTGGAACATTGAATTCTCCTGGGGTTGCTAAAACTTGACAGGTTTGGACAGAATGCAACAAAGTATTCTGAGATCCTTCTAATGCTTTGATGTAATTTCTCATTTCAAGTCTAAAATAAGTTCATTTTAACGAGTGTTGACTTCATGTTGTCTTCAGTGATGGCAATGGTGAAAAAAGTGTGCCTAAATATAAATGCATGAGTCTAAACCTGAATTAAATCATCCAGCATGGGCTATTCTAATAACAAAGAATACAGTAACTGTATTACCCAGCTTGTAAGTGTTGATTTTTTTAATGTACCCTTGTCTCTCAATACTGTAATAATCCGTGTCAATGTCATTGTACTATTGAGGTTTACAGGCCCAAAACTTTAAGCTAAAAATCAAGGAATACAAACTATAGGGTGAGGACTTTTTAAAAAATATTAGTGCTATAGAGCAATGTTATTGAAAGTGGGGCCTTGTTTAATTTCTTTTAATGTCAGTTTTATTATAAAGGCTACAGACAAGATTGATTTGATCCATGATGAATGGACATGGGGAATATATGCATTTTCAAATTATGCTGGCCTAGTGTGTGCCAGAAGCAAAGCACTACTACTTAAAATGCTTCTTTAGAGCCAGGTGCAAAGCTGAAGTATATGTACACTTTTGGTTCCAGTTAGTAGATTTTCCAGATATTTTTAATTTTTAAGTTTGCTGATTTTACTTTAAAGCTGTTGCAGTCTTTCTATAGAAATGAGTTTATGTTAAGGATTAGCCCATTGTGAGAATCAACTAAATATTATAATCGTTGCCAGTCATTTATGGATTGTCAGTCAACAATAAATGCCATCTGATGCCTCTGATCACACTGGCTGCACGTGCAATCTGTGTTCATTTAACCTCTGTTTTAATTTGCAGGAGTTACAAAGCAGCAGGCAGTGTACAGATGCAGCTGAGTGCTAAAACTGGTCTACTGTCAATAACATCAGAAATGAAACTTGGTGATTTGTAAGTAGAAAATTATTATTAAATTATTAAAGTAAATTCAATTGTCTGGGTGTCTCAGACAAAAATCTATATACAAAAGTTTGTAAAATGAATAAAAAAATAAGAGAAAAAGAGTAGAATTATGAAGATGAAAGGACCTCTTACTTAATAAAGAATACAAGCTGCTAAAACTTGTGTGAGACCACCACAGGAGAAGGATGTGACCCAGGCTGGGTAAGTGGTGTAGCAGATGCTCAGACCAGAACAGATGGAGGATGATTAGGATGTTTACTTGGCTGATGCTTTCCTAAAATCCTGCGGCAACTGGACATTTGTAAATGCCCTTTTAAAAGACTGCACCTGTCAGAGTACAGTAACAGTTCAGAGAAGGTCATGTTCAAATTTAATGACCATAATATTACATTGTACCCCAGCATACTGTAAACAATACACAGTATGGTGCACTGGGTATATTTGGAAATTAATCTAATTCCAAATTAGCTTTCAGTACCCAATGCTACTCATTATTTTGATGAATGTAAATAAATCCAGCAGAATGCTTATGCAAACACAAAAATGCGTCTATGCCCCTATGTTATTTGTATTATTCTCCCTCAAATATAAATACAAGACAACAATTACTCCAAATTAAATCATAAAATACAGTGTTTAGACTTTGGATAGAAAAATCTGCTTAATTAAATCTAAATACAAGTGTGCCAGAAATAAGTGCTGATTGTCTAGGTGGTGGTTTGTTTACATGTAGCCTTTCACACATTAAATTTCACTCTCTCTTTATCTTCCACAATATACCATGGAGTGCCTTTTTAGCATCTGAATAAAGCCATAACACAATTGGTCTACGCTGTCAGTGAAGCATTCATTCACAGGGACAACCCAATCAAATTGAACCCAAATTCCAGGATACTGATTTACCCAGTGAAAATAATATTATGAATACCTTCTGAATAGAATTAAATACTAAGAAAGTTTATAAATTGTTAATTTTTTAAAGAAACCATCAGCAGCTGCTGCAGATTATGATTCATCCAAAGATATCACCAACAGTGGGATCTGGACCAGCTCCCAAGTGGAGTCATGCTTCCTTAAGGCTGAGCCAAGGCCCAGCAGACCCCTAGAGGAATCCACCATTTGTGGAGCGGAGTCCATACTGACAGGCACCTCCAGCCAGTCAAGCACCCTGAGGCTTCAGGTGAAGCAGAGCAGGAAGGCGTAGGATGATGCTACTGAGGAGTCATCAAACTTAATGTGCACTATTGGTACAACCCCGGAAAAATTTGCTTCTCGGGAGGACCACAGTGATGCCATATTTGCCAAATGCAAAAACACTGAGCACAGAATGTGGTGGTTTGACAACTGCCTCTTCAAATATTCAGTGCACCAGAGCCTGGCATTAGAAACCTCTGACAGAGAGTTCACTAATTTGTAATGTTGGATGTGGCAACACATTGTCAATTGTAACAAATGTAAATAATCCCTGCATACTTATATTTTAATTACCTACTTTCTTTTTGTATTTCTTATTAATGTTGTACTATTCAGTTGATTGTTGCCTTATATACAGTACCTGGTGCATTTTTATGGTTAAAAAAAAAAAAATCTTGTAAACAATTCTGATTCTGATTCTGAATGATGTGTTGTTAAATAGAGCTTTTGAACTTGTTTTCTTTTGAGAAATTAAAAAATGTTACAAAAAATTTAAATACTGAAATTCATTTCAATTGGATTTTATTTAAAATAATAATTCACTTTCAGCTG